TGTGACTTGTGCACACATATCTGTGACTTCCGTTGATTTAAATGACATGTTACCTATGAGACAAATCAGATTCAAATTAGTACTTCCATGTTATTAACCTCAAAAACAAATTACGTCATCCGTCGGTGGGACATCTGAATAAGGTTCCTGCGCATGATGAAGTTCAGATGATAGACCCTCATCTATTGGAGAGTTTACATGGGCATATGTCTCCTGCCACCTCGGTGGAGGATCAACAAAGTCATCATCATCTTCATCTACAACAGCGTGACTAGTGCTACCATCGGTTATCCTGAGAACCGATGTCGACGTTTTTTTCACCAGAAAAACCTGGCTCTACACTTGTTCCAACACTACGAACTGAACTTTTCGCTTCTCTTCTTTCTCCGACCATCGCGTGTAATATCTGGTTGAACTGGTTTCATGTACTGCACCCCATTCATATATGACATTTTCATCTCATTCTCTGAGGGGTCCAAGTCACAGATTTGAATATGCCATACAATAAAAAAAATATTGTTAATAACGATTAACATCTTAATAGGCTATTAATTCTATAAATTTGAAATGATTACATCAAGGTTTGAGAAAATTTCAAATCCTTCAAGTTTTGCAGCGGATGGGTGCTCATCTAACATCCAGTTCATGATTCGAGGATGGGTTTCAGACATCCTTGTGACAATAGTTCCAGCAAGATTAGGAATAGTCTCGTATATCCAGACTTAAAAGGGTAGTAACAGACCTCTCAGCCTGTAATGGCATGTCCTCTTACTCACATATCATTCAAAGTAGTTTAAAAAGGGATCTTCCCCCAAGGAAATGTGTCCATCACAGAACAATCTTCAACAAGTACAAATAAATAATGATCAACCACCTTCTTGTAATCTCCTGGGAACATGTAAGATGTGAAATACAGATCTTCAAGCTTTGCGACATCTTCGTCTATAAGGACTTCAACAACATTCTATTCTGGAAGTTGGCAAGCTGATATGAATCCATCCCTTACATCTTTATGTGCAACAATGTTTAATTGGCTTAAATATTTTTCCTTCAAACTTGAAGGACTATTTTCAAGTGTATCTATGTCACTGGTCCCTGTACGTTGCAGACCTGTTACTAAACATAACTCAACCATAGAGAACCTAACAAATCTACCTCATATGGAAAACCACAATTCATTTTCATTGGGTATATGCACTCGTCTGAGAAGAAAGTAATGAATCAATTGTAGCTGAAGAACTATGTCATAGCACTCTATAAAATGCGCAAAGCATGTTCCCATGAGTATTCTTCGTCGGGCTTCGCTTAGATATTTCTTCAAGTTGGTGATAACAACCTTTGTCATGGACGCGGTGATTTTTCCAGGAAACCATTTATGTTGTGGTAGTATGAATTTTCACACCTGCAATAGGAGTTTATGTCAGGTCACAGATGCAAAATGACAGAGGTCACAGATGCAAAATGACAGAGGTCACAGCCATAAATTATATAATACACTCAGGTAACATACTCGTATAATCATATAACATGTGATGAAATTAGGTCATAGACCCATTATAATCTCCGTGACATGTGGAAAGTAGGTCACAGATCTATTATACTCTTTGTGAAATTCACTTCCAAAATACACTTCCAACATATAAACCCCCAACCTTCAATACTACTTCTCAAACAAATAACAAGTCACAAATGAAATAAACAAAAAGCAAAACACAAATTTTCCACTCAACTCAAATTTTCCACACATATCTTCCCAAAAAACGCAGCGGTGGAGTTGATTCCGTGATTCTATATACATAACTCATTAAAAAACGTAATGTGTAACTCTAAAAACACCTAAACCATGTTCCCTGTTCCGTAGCCTAAAATGGAATGCCCGACACATTTTCCTTTAATACTACCGGGTAGAACAAATAAAGTGTCCCAAATTCAATAAACGAACCAAAAAAATGAAGTTACCTTCTTCCCTGACTGATTGCTACTTGACCCATGCGATTTTTGCCTTGTTGCTGGAGTTTTCTTGGGACTATCCACTGTCTTCCTTTTGTTTGTTCAACCCGGCGTTTGCATCATCTTCTTCCCATTCTTTTCATCCTTTGTTTTCGTCATTGCTATTCAATGCCGACTGCAGATTCTCACATTGTAGACAAAACATAATGCACCGGAGTTTGGAGATTTATCACAGCTCAATTTGGAAAAGTGGTGGAGATTGATCGCGAATAACCTGGAGAAGAGATAGTGCTTGAGAGAAAATAGGGCTCGAATAAAAATGGAAGTTGAGATATTAACAAATTTGAAACCCTCAATTAATGGGACACGCGCATCAATTAATTAAAAGATTTATTATTTAATTAAAATGATAAAAACCTGAAAATTGAATAAATAAAGTCCAAACCTGATTTATAAAAATGGATCTTTAAACACCCGTTTTTATGTAATTTCCACTACAATTAATTACATATGTTCGCCGACATGGCAAATGAATGTTTTTCCAACAAAAAATCGTTGAATTAGGCTTTCGGGAACACCACAAATTCAAAGAGATTTGATTGCTATCCATCCCATATATATATTACCTGTATATTCATGTGTATCTATACAAGAATAGGCTGTAGCGGGGCGAAGTGGCCAATATGGCTATGCGGTGATGGAGTTGATGGGGGAGACGATGATTTTTGGATTTTAATCCTTCTAATGAATCCCCGGTCCATTTGAGTAGCTGTCTGACATAAAAAAGGCCTAATGGGGTGATCTTATTTTTAAAAAATTGACTTAAAATATCACTAAATTATTAAGTTTTAACACGCTTTTAGAATTTTTAAATTTTTACTTTTAATGGTGAGGTGAAACAAAATAATGATATCCTATCTGAAATTAACTCCATAATAATGTGTAGAGATATCTATACTAGTTATTGCAGTCATTAGATGAATTCTTAGAATTAATATTTCATTTAACTAAGATTGATTCACATAAAAATATGAAATTGAATCAGTTAAATAAATTCAATGAGAACTCGATAGGGGTAAATTGAATACTTTAGAAGAATTAGTTAAACAATTTTTTTTAAACCCTAGAAGGTACTTATAAAATAACAAAAATTACTTAAGTGTGGTAATGCTTCAAATTTTCTTTTTTCGTGAATTTAGCTCAAATAAAAGATAGATGCTACTTAAATAACTTGTTTATTTACTATTTATGCATACTGGAGTGGTTAATTTGAAATTTAAATTTTTAGATAAAATATTATTACGCTTTGTGATAAATAAAAATCATCTTTGTGTTAGGCATTTGAGAAAAATAAAAGAATCTGAACGGACGTGAGATGCATGTTAAAATTACATTTAAATAAATAAATATGATTCCCACTAATAACTTAAATTTAAATAAATAGTTTAACGCGTCATCAAAATGACAATTACAGGTTAATATACATATAACAATCAATGGCATTATTACAAGTAATAGAACTTTCAAGGAAAGTACCTAAACAACCTAAAAATTCTTTTGCAAAATGATATTCATGATGTTTTTGACTAAATGGATTGACTTGGGGGAAGACCAAGATAAACGTCATTCTTGCCCATGTAAAGTATATGTACATACCTACAAAGTCCGTGAAAAATGTGTTATAAATTGTTGAATAAAAGATATAAACTTATTTATATTTATTTATTTTTAACTCCTTTAAGTTTGATGAAGCCATTCAATATAACAAGATAATAGATAAATTATCTTAGCTTCAGATTCATTTTCATTTATTTATAAATAAATTACTTGAGATGCATTTAATAAATAAATAAATTGAACCTGGATGTGAGAAATCGTGTTAAACATCTTTATTCTTTGATATCTTAAATATTGTTAAATATCTTTATTCCTTGACATCTAAAATATTTAGGCTAAAGTTTTTCCATGAAAATAGGTAGTTTCTTTATAAAGAAAATTCTTCAACAATCCTGTAGCTGTTTCTTTAAAGTCAGATTCTTGTCCCTACTAAACTTTAGGAAAATAACTGGATTGACCTGATAGGAATACAAATATGTTGTAAGACCTCATGGTAGAGGCGGGTTTTTTTCCCAACAACCGGCCTAACCGAATTGGATAAGATCAGATCGGCTGATTTAACACTGGTTCCTATAAGAAACATATAGATTTCAGTTCGATTTTTGATACTGGCTTGCAAACAAATAACAAGTTTTCTGATAAGATTCATTCACCAATATAAATAAATTACCAAAAAGTAAATAATAAAATATTGTTGATTTCGTCTCATTGATTTGCTTCAAGCCTTCGAATCTAGAAAAATCATATTTTGAGTTTGTGTAAAATTAATTAATTAGCAAACGAAATAGGAAAATGATATTTTTGGGTTCAATTATTTAGTTGAGAAATTTATTTAGAAAAAATAAAATAATTTGGCTTATTTATAATAAAAAAATTAAGGAGCTTCGGCTCTTATTTGATTTTTCGTCTAGAACCGAAAATCAAACCAAACCCGACGTTTCTCGATTCAAGTATCCGTTCGGATATTTAACTTTAGAAGAAACGCTTCGTTCGGTTCAGTTCGATTAGGTTCGGGAGTTTTGTCCAGACCTAACTGCGTGGGTCTCAAGTACTTAGATAAGACAAATTTATTTTAAGGAAATTGCATTTACACATGGATTCAGTTACTATTCTGTTATCGAATTTACTCGTCGACTCTTTTTCCTTTGCATATATTCATCTCTGTTTTGTACTCTTAAATATATGCTATATTTTGCAAAAAATTAGTAACAATTTTAAGGTTGCAACTGGTGATCCTAAATTGCATGTGGTACCTTGTTTGGCCTTTGATGTTGATACAGAAACGTTTGTCCCAAAAAAAAAAGGATTAAGCCAATCTGTATCTAGCCACCGATGTTCGTGCACCAATGTGTTTTTTAAGGTGACATCTTAATGTGAAACCAATAGAGAATATTTTTTGTCTATAAATACATATTAACTCAATCATTCTGAACATGCAAATTCCAAAGCGAAACACGGCTACGCGTTGTACTTTGCTCCATATGTTCTTCTTGCTTTCAAACCGCCACCGTGTTGGTAGTTTGAGTACCACCACTACCAACAACACCAAACCTGGCTGCCAAAGCAGTTGTGGTAACGTAGAAATTCCATACCCATTTGGTATCAGGCCAAATTGTTCTATGAACTTGTATTTCAACATCAACTGCAATACTTCTGTAAACCCTCCAAAACCTTACCTCTCCTATGCTGATGTGAATCTCGAAGAAGGCCCTTACAGCTTAGAGGTTGTTACTATCTCAAAATCCCAAATCTATTAAAGAACTTGAAGCTGCAGCTGGCATGGAGATGCTATGGCAAGCGGGCCAATTACAAGATGATGAATTCTTCTATAATCCTCAATTTTCAAAGGACTCCTTATGCTTTGCCAGATGCAAATCAGCTTAAAATATTTGGTTATGATGACTTGGCTGTTGTACAACAATTTTCAGACCCAATCCAAACCTCCAGCGGTATTGGTTGTCTATCCTTCTGTCCATACCGTCAAAATCATTCCATGGGAACATGCCCTCTCTGGGGCTGTTGCCAAACCTCCATATCCAAAATGGAATCCCTCTATGTTCGACTGGTCGACGTGCATACTATATGAGTTTGAATTATAAATACATTGAAAGATGAGCCTTTACAATCAATTAGCTATTTCTCTGATAGCTTACAGATTTATAGCATATAAGGAACATTCCAGATGATCCAGCTGGAGGCCAATCCATGAATTATGGGTAGTGCTGGGAATCTATTTACAACAAGTAATGGAGAGTGTAAGGCTGGTGCAACAGAATAACAATGCAAGTGCAGAAACCGTTAGCTTCCAGCCGCTAGTCTGATGTAGAGGCTGAAATGTAGCTTTTGGTGATGTGTAGATTAAGTTAATTCTTTCACACCCTCCCTCAAGCTGGATGGTACTGAGGTAACACCAAGCTTGTCCTTCAAGAAGTTGAATCTCGAGTGAGTAAGGCCCTTAGTCAGAAGGTCTGCAATTTGATCAGATGATGGTACATATTTAACTTCCAACTCCTTTGCAAGGACTTTATCTCTTATAAAATGAATGTCGAGCTCAATGTGCTTCGTTCTAGCATGGTAGACTGGATTGGCTGCCAAAGCTCCTGCACTTAAGTTGTCGCACCATAGGATAGGAGTTGAAACTTGTGGCAGATCAAGTTCTTTGAAGAGGGATTGGATCCATGCGATTTCTGAAGCTGCTGAAGCCAGTGATCTGTATTTCGACTCTGTGCTAGACCTTGCAACCACTTGTTGTTTCTTAGATGACCAAGCTATTAGGCTATCTCCAAGGTAGATGCAATAGCCTCCTGTAGATCTCCTGTCATCCGGTCATAAGGCCCAATCTGCGTCTGAAAAACCATATAGGTTTAATCTATTGCTTCTTTGTATCCAAAGTCCTTGATTCATTGTACCTTTTAGGTACCTCAGCACCCTTTTTAAGGCTTGCCAGTATATAGATGTTGGTGTTTGCAAGAATTAGCTTAGTTTGTTAACGGCAAAGGTGATGTCAGGCCGCGTGTACGAAAGGTATTGCAAGCCTCCTATTGCACTTCTGTAGGTTGAAGGATTGTTCAATGCTTCTCCATATGATTTTGAAATAGTTTTGCTAGCTAGAATAGGAGTAGGACAAGACTTGAGATTCTCCAGTTTGTATTTCTTGAGTAATTCAGCAATGTACCTGCTCTATGTGAGATAAAGTCCTAACTGTGCCACATTACTTCAATTCCTAGAAAGTGATGAAGTTGTCCGATATCCTTCAATGCAAATTTTCTGTTTAATTCATCTATATACCTTTGCATTAGCTTCAGATCATTACCTGTCACCACAATATCATCAACATATATGAGAGCAAAAATAATCTGACTTTCAGACTTAAAGTAGAAGAGTGATGTGTCTGCAATTGATTGTCTGAAATTTCAGATTAGTAATGTTGATTTCAGCTTCTCATGCCAAGCTCTCGGCGCCTGCTTTAGTCCATAAAGAGCCTTTTATAATTTGCAGACATGATGAGGTTTTGTTTTGTCTATGAATCCTTCAGGCTGATTCATGAATACCACTTCTTCTAATTCTCCATTTAAAAAGGCGTTATTGATGTCTATTTGCCTAATTGACCACCCTTTTGAAACTGCCAAGGTAAGTATAATGCGTAGGGTTGATGTTTTGACCACTGGACTAAAGGTTTCAGAGAAATCAATTCCAGGTGACTGATGAAATCCCTTTGCAACTAACCTTGCCTTGAATCTCTAGATTGTGCCATCAGCGTTTCTTTTTACTCTGAAAACCCACCTATTTCCTACTACATTGTAATCTGGTAATGGTGGCACTAGCTTCCAGGTTTCAGCTTTCTTCAGTGCATTCAGTTCCTCTTCCATAGCTTTCCTCCAATTTTCATTTATCATGGCTTCACTGACACTTCCAGGTTCTGCAGGTTCAGGTTTAGATTCAACTTATTTTCCCATGTATACCTTTGGCTTGAAAATTCTAGCCTTTCCCCTGGTGATCATGTGATGATCATTATTGATTGGTTGCTGATTGTTTAAGTGTTCAGATGTAGGTCTTTCGATATTTGAAGATGACTGAGCCTCAGTTTCAATGATTTGATCATTTTCAATTCAAATGGAGCCTTCACTTAAGCTGGCACTCTCAGAATTGTTCAAACTTACCTGCTGATTGTAAGTCGAGCTTAGAGGTGAGCGAAGCAGAGCATTGGTTGCTTCTGGATGGGTTGTATCATCAGGATTTGATGTAGGATTTGAGGTAGTTATTTGAGAGGGAAAATGAAAGCATGACACTACAGTTTCAGGTATAACAGGACTGGATTGATTTTGAGTAGAGAACAAAGATTCAAAGCGAAACTCAAACTCATTGAATACAACATGCCTTGAGATGTAAATTTTTCCTGTCAAGCTTAGACATTTGTAAACTTTGTGGGATTGGCTGTAACCGAGGAAAATATACTTGGTTGAGTGGAAGCTGAAGTTGTGTTTTTGGCAGGGCCTAGGGCAAGGATAGTAGGCACATCCAAAGACTTTTAGTGCCTTGTAATCAACTTCTTTTTCATTCAAGACTGAAAAGGGTGTTTGCATTTCAAGAGTAGGTGCAGGCAATCGATTTATGAGGTAGGTGGCAGTTGAGAAAGCTTCCCACCAATATGTTAAGGGTAGTTTAGCTTGAGCCAAGAGGGTCAGGCCAATTTCTGTGATGTGCCTATGCTTTCTTTCTACCCTCCCGTTTTGTGCAGAAGTATAGGTGCATGGATGTCTGAAATCAATCCCTTCTTGTGTTAGAAACTTAGTAAAAATTCTGTACTCACCCCCCCCAGTCAGCCTGCAGGGTTTTAATTTTGTTTGTAAATTTATTTTCCACCAGTTTTTTGAAGTTAATAAAGGTTCCCAGTGCTTCAAATTTCTGTTTCAGTGGGTATATCCATGTGAATCAACTAAAGTCATCTAAAAAGGTTATGTAATATCTGAAGCCTGAGGTAGTTTGGATAGGTGCTGGTCCCCAGATATCAGTATATATGAGTTCAAGTGGATTTTTGGCATGTGAGATAAATAATGAGAAGGGTAGCAGATGAGACTTTCCAAATTGGCAAACATCGCAAAATGGTTTGATTTCATTTTCTTTTGCGTTTTGATTACAATTCTTGAGCACTTGAGACTCCACTTGACTAGATGGATGTCCAAGTCTCTTGTGCCAAACATCTATTGAGGAATTTAAAGTCTTTTGACATGACTCTTTACTGAAACTAGACACTTGACTGGTGCTGGAACTGAGAGACTGAGATTGCAGTAGAATTTATTCGAAGAAGCAGACGTTAGAGTATGACATTTTGGGTTTTGTTTAGGAGAATCCAGTTGATATAACCCATCCTTAAGCTTCCCTTGCAGCAATACCTTCCTTGTTTGCTTGTCCTTCACAAAAAAAAAAAGTAGTTAGAATGAAACTCCATATACACTTGATTATCACAGGTTAGTTGTGAAACACTTATAAGGTTTCTTTATTTCAGGCACAAAGAGCATCTTATTTAACACAAGTGTTTTGTCATTCAATGTTGGGATATGGGTAATGCCAAAATGTGAAATAGATAACTTACTCCCATTATCAACCATCACTTTCTCCTTACCAGTGTATTCTTGTGGCGAGGTGACATTTTCCTTCATTGCTGTAATGTGATTACTGGACCCACTGTCTGCAAACCAAGCTGGATCACTTATAGTGTTAGGTGGGGCTATAAATGCTGTTAGAGAAGGGCTGTAATTAGTTTTGTGACTTGGTGGAGTGCCTGAGTATCTCTCATCATATCTGAAATTGCATATATTTGCTTTGTATCCAATCTTGGCACACACTTGGCAAACAGGTCTGTCATTCCCATAGGAGCCTCCACCTCTGTTTCTACCTCTTCTTCCTCCTCTAAAGTTATTGTAGTTGGTGAACCTTCCTCCAGGATTTGGCCTAAAGGACCTGAAGTAAGATTGGTTTAAACCTGACCTTTAAGTGAAATTGGCTGAAGGCTGCTCCAGGTTGATACCTGCAAGTTCATTTCTAACTGAGTTCAGGTGTTCAAGTCGACTTTCGAATGTCATGAGTGTTGATTGCAGTTCTCTCCAGGTGACGTGATCACGACTGTTGATCTGAACTACAATTGGTGTGTAGTCTTCATCTAGCCCAGCCAAAACTTGAGTAATTAGATCAGCAAGATGAATAGCTTTTCCATCTATTTCAAGATTATCAACAAGTAGTTTAACTTTGTTCAAGTACTGATCAATGCTTAGTACTCCTTTCTTTGATTTCTGAAGTTCACCAGTCAAGAATGTGATTCTTGATCTATTTTGCACACCGTAACTTTCTTTCACAGTTGACCATAGTTCATTGGAGCTTTTAGCTCCCATTACTCTCATTGCAATGTCAGGAGTCATTGAAGAGTAAAGCCAACCCATTAGCAATTGATCAGTCGACATCCACTGATTAAATTCAGGATTCTTTATCATTTCAACACTAGTGCCAGCTTCACCAGTTAGTTGAGTAGGGATAAATTCTGGAGGACAAGTTTTTGTTCCCAGAATATGGCTCTCCAGATTGTGCCCAGGGATTATAGGCAGAATCATATTTTGCCATAGCAAGAAATTGTTGTTCTCAAGTTTTACTGACACTACTTGAGTCAGATTCCCACCAAAAGGTGTGATGATGTTGCTTCCCTGCATCGGAGCAACTGAGTTGCTTGATATGGTTGCAGGATCAGAGTTAGGACCTTCATTTG